TGTCCCTAAAATAACAATTCAAAGGCAATTGTCATTCTACTTTGTCACTCCTCCAAATGTACCTATCTATTTTGGATTTCAATGGCAGAAAAATTTGTGGTGTGACATGAAGAAAAGGCCAGGGAATATGTTTTCCCACTGTGAGCCTGGTTGTGAAAGTTACAGATGATAGCATGGCCAGACAGAAGCACATAGATACCTTAGTAGTGTTATCAGGGGCTTGAGGCATGTACAGGTAGAATTAAAAGGGGATTAGATGATGTGACTCTCAAGTGAAAACATTCTATTCTTGAAAAACTGATAATTGTTTTTGAATGTTCTACACCAGAAACCTAGAGGAACACTTTTTTGTCTTTCCACAATGTCAGAATATATTTGTTATGGTTTTGGTCCCTGATCTCTTTAAGAGACAAGTCACGCCCACTCCCTCCCCCATCCTTTGAGGCAGGCTGATCTTCAGCTTCCTGCCTGAGGTCTCTCCTCTTTTCCATCTTCCTCTCAGAGAGGCAGCTTCGCTTCTGCCTCTCTCCCCCCTTCTCCGCGTCCCTCTTCTGTCTCTCTTCTCTCTCTCTCTCTCTCCCTCTCTCTCTCTCTCTGCACCGCTTTCCCCCTCCATAACCCCCTGAATAAACATTCAACCTCACTCTGCAAGTCGTGTCTATCCATGTCTCTGTCTTCTGCCTGCCCGCCATGTGTCTCCAGAGACTGGCAGCCGTTTCTGCCTGGGGCCCACTGTCTGCTGCCACATGGCCAGCCACCACCATTTGGGACCTACAGCATTTCTGCTGCCTACTGCCACCGGGGATCTTGCAGCATTTTTTTTAAAAATTATAAAAGATTGCACCACTTTTGCCTAGACAAATGTAGTCCATCTTCTCCAAGTGTCTCTCTCTCTCTCTCTCTCTCTCTCTCTCTCTCTCTCTCTCTCTCTCTCTCTGTGTGTGTGTGTGTGTGTGTGTGTGTGTCTCTCTCTCTCTCTCTCTCTCTCTCTCTCACACACACACACACGCACACACAAACCACCTACCTCATAGGCCTGGCAAAGACTGATGCTGTTATTCTGATACTTCTGCCACCAACACTATAGAGACCTGGGTATGGCTAAGTGGGTATGGACTGGTTTCTATCATTTTGAATAGATTTGGAAACTGCTTGATCTGTACTTATGTATAATTTATTTATCCTTCTGGGATTTCTGACAGTATTGATGGCTAGGTTAACTATAACTTGCCAGCTTAGCAGCATCGACAAATAGATCCTTCCACAAGGCTATAGCCAGCTTGTTAGCTCATTTTATATGTAAAAATCAAGCCTTGCTTCTTCTAATGCTACTAGGTCTCTTGATAAAAAAAAAATCATTCTAAGATATAAAAGTTTAAGTTGTAAAGTTTTTAAAAAGGTCTGAGGATATAAAAGTCTATGCAAGTTTTGAGGGTCTAAGTGCCTTAAGATATATTAAGGTCTGAGAACCAGAATGTTTTAGGGTACAAGAAAGTAACTTAAGGTGTGTTAATGCAAGTTGCGAAGGTCTGAGTATAAAAATCTTAAGTGATGGCAAAGGCAAGTGATCTGAGACATTTGGAAGAATAAAACATGTTCCAGATTTCACTTTCATTATGCTGCTGTTATATTAAGACTACAAAAAGTTCACAGTCTTAACAGTAATTGATGGAATTCCGGCAACCTATTAATCCAACTCTGACAGAGTACTAAACACCATACTATACCACTATCCGATCATAACTACAAGATCAAGATTTTAAATTCTCTTTGGTTGTTTCCTAACTATAGACTTCAAAGGTGCTTTTCATTGTGCTAGAAACATCTGTCAGAGTTTTCTGTAAAGAAGGAAGAATGTTAATGTTTTCAACCAAAATCACTTTTAGCATGAGTATACTGCTGGTTCTAATGTGTCTAAAACTTTGTTTTCACAATCTCAAAGAAATTCTTGTACGTTCCAGAAAGTCGACTTGGATTCACCCTGAACAGGTCAGAAGCACCCTCCAATTACTAGGACCTAAACAACCCAAGCCTCCCCACTTTTCCTGGTCTTGACACTCCCCTCCCTCAATTACCAGAAAAATTTTCCCTAAACTTAACCTTGTCCTCTGCTCTGCCAACATCTTGCCAGGTCCAAGATGTGCCTGATGGTTCCACAGAGCCTGGTCAGCAGTGAAACAACTAGCTACTCCAGGATGTGGCTAACACTCCAAATTTCTCAGATTCCTGAAAGATGGTTGATGACCCACAAATCAGTAGGAAGTAGTCTCGAGAACTCGGGGCCCTCATTTTCCTAACTCGCCATGCCTAACTCCTCACTTTTTTTTTTTTTATAAATAAAGAAGGGATGGATGTCAGCATCCTGGTACACCTGGCCACGCTGCTTGGGAATCTTGCAGTGTGTCACCCCTGCATGCAGGGCAGGCAGTATCCTGTCCCTTTAAAAAGTGAAACTCCGCTTACTTCTACCTCTTCTTCCTCTCTGTATCTCTCTCCTTTTCTGCCACTCCCGTCCCCAGAGGCCAGTCTCTTCCCTCCCCTTCCTCCCTTTTCCACTCCCTTTCTCTTAATAAAACTTCCCATGAAATCTCTGTCTGCGTGGCAAGTCTGTCTCTAACCAGCCAAGGTCTTTCACGCAAAGAATCACATCACTTTGGTCTGGTGTGTCCATTAAGTGCTTGGCTCAGGTTTCCCTACTTGGTTTTGTTTTTAGGGTTCCATGTGTCCCTAGTTTCATTTCACCCCAATAAACTTAGAGAGTAGCTCTCTTCCTATTCCCAGAATTTACTTGTCAGTCTGTATTGGATTAGGGAGGTGGTGCCTGACAGATGATGCAGTTTCTGGGTTCTCCGAGTTTCTGGGTCCTTCTTGTTGAGTCTCCCAGTGCAATGCACTGCTTTAATAATCTGTTGTTGCGGGAGGTCCTTCCACCCCTCCAACCAATAGCTGCTGTGATACCAGCCCATTGGGGCGTGGTTTCTCTCCCTTTAAAAAAACGGCTACTTCCTCTGCTTGCCCTCTTCACTTCCTGCTCCGCAGGTGACTAGACTCCCTTCCTGGTTGTGCAGATGGCTGTTGTCTGGGACGGTGATCTGTAAGTTTTTTCCCCTTTAAATAAATACCACCCTATTAATCATAACTCCAAACTGGTGTGGCATTGTTCGTGACTTATGCCTTCAATCTGTTTTTATACAATGTGGAGTATTGAAGAATAGAGCATAGGGGATGGAGCTTTGTTCAGTGGTTAAGAGCTGCTCTTTCAGAGGACCCCATGTTTGGTTATAAGCACCCACAAGGTAGTTGACAACCACCTATAATTCCAGTTACAGACCACCTGAGGCCATCTTTCAGTCTCTGTGGCAATAGATATGCAAATAGTGCATTTCCACACATGAAGGTAAAATACTCACAAACTGAAAAGCAACCCCCTCTTGAAAACATAGTAAGTAGGGCATAACCTGATATCAAGAGTTATGTACTAAATTTCAAACACCAAATTGATGTAAAACAGTAATTGTTCCTGCAACAGTGAAACTGAAGTTAGTTGAGTTTTAGTTTTCAAAAGAAGCCATCCTCATAATTGAAATTTTGTTGTTTTATTATTACCACTGTCTATATGAAATTGTCTTTATGGATATTTTATATTGTAAAGATTTAGTATAACGTTTTCCTTTACAAAATGGATTGTTTTTCTCAGGTTTTTCTGAGTTTCTGGACTTGGCGTATGTGATGGCTAGTTGTCTGCCAACTTGGCTAGGATATATGCTATTTAATCAAATAGTAACCTACGGATTGCCATGCAGGTATTGTGTGAATGTGGTTAATAACTATAATCAGTTGATCAAGTATAATTATGGGTGTGTGCTCCAATGTTGGAATAGGAGCGGCGGGGCTGCGTCCCCAGCACCCCGGCCGCCTGCTGGCTTATACCCGAAATAACAACACACAAACTGTATTCATTTAAAGACTGCTTGGCCCATTTTTATCTAGCCTCTTCTAGGCTAATTCTTGCACCTGGACTAGCCCATTTCTAATAATGTGTGTAAGCACCCCAAGGTGCGCTTACCGGGAAGATTCTAGCCTAAGTCCATCGTGGGTCTGAGCTGCATGGGAGAGCAGAGCCTGGCGTCTCTGCTCCAGAGAGCAGAGCTATGGAGTCTGTCTGAGGAGTCTTACCTCACTTCCTCTTCCTCCTGTTTACTCCTCCCACCTATGTTTTAACCTATCAGGGCCAGCCAAGCAGTTTTATTGCTTAACCAATGAAATAAAAAGATTGATATATGACACTCCCACATCACTCCAATCAGGCCTAAAGAGCAAAACCTGATTTTCTGTCTCAAATCTGCAGTAGTCTCCAGCATGCCTGTTTGCCTTGTGGATTTCAGACTCAATACTGCAATATTGACTACTGCACTTATTTCTAGTCTGCTACCTCACACGCTTTTAGACTTGTTAGCTGTCTGTGTTAGTCAGTGTTGTCAAGATATACCTTGCTTTGTTGCCCTTTTCGGATATGCTGACACACATGAAGATAGAGCACTCATACATAAAATACATAAACAAAAAGGCATTATCTAATTTCCCTAACAGCACTAAATTCTAATTCGCTCCTTTAAAGGCCACTAGAAATAACACTAACAAAGCCAGACATGTGGTCTATGCCTTTATTCTTAGCACTTGGTAAGCATAAGCAAGCAGATCTCTGAATTCAATGCCAGCCCTGGCCTGTAATAGCAAAGGAGACACCCATCTCAAAATACAAACAAAAAATCCAAACAAAACAAAAGCATGAACAATCACATCAAAACAAAAACTACCAATAAAAAGGACTTAATACCACTATAGTGAAACTACCCCATATACTAAGGGGATAAATTCTGTGTATACAATAAAACATAGTAGCACAATCTTGTTATATATTCCAATACAGGTATAAGGAATTATACTCAAATTATACTCATTGCTTCAAAGGTAAGAGAAGACATTCCAGACAACACATGTTTGGTATTAGAAGAATTAAGTATGATTACTGAATGTTTATAGAATATCACCATGCCTAGGATGCACGTGACTTTCTCCACACATCAGATCATCTCCAGAGACATTTTTTTATGTTATATCAAAAGCTTGTTGCTCAAATTAGGTTTTTCAGGTCTTACAAGTCCACTTTTAAGCAGGAACTATGTATTCATCCAAGAAAGAGAATACCATGCTACAAAGATGAAAAAGAAATCCACAGTTCCTCTTCTAATGTTGAATGCACAAAACTGTCCAGTTTTGCAGATCGAATTCTGGTAAACAAAACTCCTTTGATGTAACTCAAGTGCCCTTCTGAGATCAAAATGGTGAAGTGGGCTCAGATCACCAAAATCCAGCAGGTAACTTGCTAGCTGACAAACAGGAAAACATGTCAATTCCTTGAGCACAAATCAGCTTCTCCATCCTCAAGATCAAAGTCTGAGGATACCCAGCGTCTTTGATACCAAAGAAAAGGGGGGTTTAGCGGAATATGAAGACTTGTTTGGTGTCCAGTATCATCTACACATGTCCAGGGGATTCGAAAGTTCAGTCACATTTACTGCTTAGTGCCAGGAATCAGCTGAATACAGTTGGTGTAATCCCAGTATTTTTTTTTACAAAACCAAACTAGTAAGAACATTTCTGGGTTTTCATAGGAAAGGCATATATAATAGAAATAAAAAGGCTATAAATACCTTCTATGTAACAAGCAACCCAAATACATTAACATAACAAGCCAAAAAATATATTCTACATACAAAAGCAGTGACTCTAAACCTAACTGAACATTACAGCCTCAATTGGATTGCTGTCCTCTGTTCTAAATTTGGGGATTAGGAAGTCTTCAGAAGAGCCCTGTTCTAAATTTGGGGATTAGGAAGTCTTCAGAAGAGCCCAGGAGGTCCTGTCTTCCTGGTGGTGTTGATCAGGCCCCACTCTTAAAACCACAGCATTAGGATATAAAAGGTAGGGGTCGTGGCCTTGCTCCTTTTGGGCAAGGGAAGAATCTAGGCGTCTATTTGGGCCTTAATGTGCTTGTGGGTCCATGCTCAGACTGTGGGGACAGACGCGGGAGCAGCACCTTTGCAGCAAATGAGGAAGAATCTGTAGTGAAGGAAATCCAGCTTTCGGAAAACATAACTGACGAGACGAAGAATTCCTCTGGCTCAAAATCTCAGTAGTATTGTGGCTGGTGCTGCTGTTTCTGATGAAGAGTTAAAGAGAGTAGTGGAGGAGCTGGCACTGGAGCCAAGAAGGAAACCAGACACCTTAACCAAGCCAGGGACCTAGAACTAGAAAGGGCTGCAGCCAGTAAGCGGTTAACCAGAGAGCTAGCCAACATCTGTGGACATAAAATGTTTTCTTCTCTCTTCACTCCAGGTGCCACCATTTAGTGATCTCCATTGTAAGAAAGCTGGGAGGGGACAGGGATTCCAAACCATTTCAAACAGTCAGCAAGATAGAAGCACCAGGCTGGGCTAACAGTGCTAGGTAGATTCTCCTGAACCTTTGGTTATCTGGATGTGAGCTTTTTCCTTCTGATTATGTAAGAGCTTTTTCATTATAACTTATTATGGTGATCATGCAAGAATGAACATTGAAACAAGAAAAAATGTACCTCTTTTAGTAGAATGTTTATGACCGCAGGAAAACAAGGCACTTTTATCAGTATAAAGACAACCCTGGGTTATACATCTTCTGTAGAGAATACTGAAAACTTCACTATCAATAAGTCTATTTTTTGACAAAAAGCATAAAAAACAGTTCCAGTCTTGTATGAGAGAAGAACACTCATTAGCATCAACAGTAATTATGGAATTAATATGGTTAGAGTTACAAAGGTGATTTCTCTGTAAATGTTTGTTGAGATGCTGGTCTTGGGCCAAGTATCTGTTCTTCTCAATCTAGTTTAAGTTAGTAAGGCATTCGGGTAGATAGGTACTATAAGACTATGTCCCTCATATTACTCCTATGACGTTTTAGAAGCCTGAGATTCCTTTGCCAAGAGCTCTTCGAAGATCTCATTATGCATGTAAAAGAAGACATACCCAGTTGAAAGCCTAGCCTTCTGTATAAGCTCCTCTTGTATTTTTGTCACATGCGGATCACTATAAGTGAACCAATTCTTATTCCTGAAGTCAAAGGCATCATTAATATAGTGGCCTCCATGGGGACTGCTCCCAATATGACTGATAATATTAATGAGCCTGTAATGATTGTCTTCTTTTGGATCAACCGTTTGGGGTTCCACCTTGCCTCTTAGCTTTGTCTTCTTACCTGAACTATCTTTGCTTCCTAAGTTCTTACTGGAGTCTAGTGAGCCCTGTAACTTCACATTGCCACTCTTGGTATGTGACTCAGCAGCTTTACTGGAGCAACCTATTTGTTCCTGGGAGCTTGGTTTTGGATGGCTCTGAGTAACTGCCTCTCGGGAGGTCTGTTTACCATTTCTCTGTTTCTGACGTTTTTGAACCTGTTGGTACTTTGGGGATCTTTCTGGAATTCTGAGATCGTTATCTTTAGTAGCCTTGCTGAAGCTACCAGAATCTAACTCACTAGATGTACGTGCTTTCTTATGTTTCTTTGTCTCCTTTGTCAATTTTGACCCACTTACATTTTGTGTGGCACCCTTTCCCTGATCTTCCTGCTTCACTTTCCCACTCAACACGTTAGAGACTCTCCTTACATTTTGTGCTTCTGACTCCTTGTTTGAGCTGGTGTTTACAGTTGAGGAATCCTTGGGTCCTGAGGTCATCATTGAATGAAATGACCCTTTGAGTATTTCGGGACTCAACTCTTGAAGGGGTTTTAGTAAGTCAAAATCCTTAACATGTGCATTTTGGCTAATGGGCTGAGGGGGCTTTGTGTTTTCATTGCAATGATAAGACAGCTTTAAAATTTTGGAAATAATGACGTGTTGCTCATTCTTCTTCACTACCCGCGACTCACTAAAGCTATAGCGCTTAAGGTGAATAATAATAACCCTGGGTAGGCGGCCAAACTTATGCACTGCCATAGATCTGTTGTGCATACACCTCTCACATCTATGCTCAAGTTCTTCTGCTTTAAAAAAATGATCAAAACTGGATTGGATAGACAAGTTGAGACCTTTCAGTCCTTGAGGAATGCTGACGGAGAGATAACTACCCTGTTCTTTCCTGTGAACAACCAGGCCACAAGCTTTACAAAAAATAGATCTCATCAACTCAAATTCGAAATTATTGGCAACAGGACAAAAAGGCATTTTGTCCATAATATCATGGTTAGCAAAAATCTGTCTAAGTAAATTATTTCTCCCAGATTCATTTTCAGCTTGCCACACTACGGTTAATTTTTGAACAGCTTCCTTCAACTGAACTAAACAGAGACTTAAAAACTCATGCGCGTCATTCTGCCTGTGAGCAGTAAATATCTCTCCAAATTGTGGAAGGACTTTTGTAAAATTTATAAGTAACGTCTCCCTAGTTTTTGCATTGTAAATATCTTTCAGAACCAGCAGTTGCATCAAGCGCATGTTAAAATCATCTCTGGGAGGTCTAATCCATGGGAAACCCTGATTGAACAACTCATTAACAAACAGTGGAACTGCGCACAGCGACTGTAATACTACGTTTATGTAACAGGTATTTCCCACATTGGGCAGGCCTTGCCATGCTTTTTCTGGGTACAGTAAGAGTGTCTTTATATACTCATGCCACTGCCACTCTATGCCTTTCGCCATAGAACATGGTTCCAACAGAAGTGGCGAAAATAATTCTGTAAGGAGATCATGAATACCACGAACACTCAAATCAGACTCCTTGGGATTGTTGGTCTCAGATGAAAAGCCCAATCCTGGTTTGCTCTTTTCTGCCTCTCTTAAATCCCTTTCTTTTTCTTTATTATCATGTACAGCCACCACTGACTTTGCCTCAGATTTCTTACTGCTGCCCTGTTGGATGTTCTCTGTTGCCTTCTGTTCTGAATTACGTGAGGATCTTTTCTTCTTTACAGGTTGTTTTTCTGAGACCCCTGCGCTATTAGGTGTGGTTGATGAAGATGAAGACAAAGGCATCTCATCAAGCACTGGTGCTCTACTTTTTTTGGCTGATTTGACGCACTTACTGTTTGGTTCCTGGGTGCTTGTGTTAGGACCACCAGATCTCTCCTTATTCTTTCTCCGTAATGCCCGAAGATTTCTTTGATGAACTCTGTCTAGGAATTTCTTCAGCTGTCTGGCATATATGGTGGTTAGTTCCTCAACAAACAAGAAATCGTTATTTTTAAAAGTTAAATTTAGGTAATTCTGGTCTTCACTATAGGTTCCAAGGACCACACTTTTAATATTATTGTTTAGCTGCAAAGCTTTGATCTTCCCAGTGCTAAAATAGAGCTGAAGTTTAGCTTCCTGGTTTCCCATTATTGTTTCAATGAATGCAGCTCGTAGCTTAGACATTCCTGCCTTTGCACACCACATTTGGATTTGAGCGTAAATCAATATGGAATCCATACTCATTTTCTTAGCCTGTTACCTAAGGAAACAACAAGGAAATAGCATATTACTTTTTATACACAATGACTCTTTCTAATATTGGCTCTATATTTAAAATTCTTCATGTTTTGAGTATCTAGCCCTTTAGTGATTAACCAATACCTTTTGAGAGAAATCTATGGTTGTAAGAGAACAGAAATCTTGATTATCAGTGCAAGACCGTGATTTAAAAATATCCAAGAAAAAGTACTTTCAGATATGACGGAAATGTTTATATAAAACCAAAACTCCATTCCTATACACTAAATCTCCTTTCCACCACAGAATTAGACTCTATTCTGATTAATTTCACCTTTTCAATGGAAATTATGAAACCCTTAGAAAATTAAGACACATCTAAAAGGTGTACTGAAGAGTACCTTGGGTATATATGTAGACAACCAAAATAAATGTTTAAGCAAACAGGAGCGCTAAGTAGCCCTTACCCCAAAGGCAGATGGCTATCCTTGATGTATAGAGGAATGCATACATGGGATACTCAGAGTAAATCCAGCTACCTCATTCCAAATCCAGTTACATCACCTTCTTCCACTTAGCACTGAGGAATCGCCATATATTTTATCCTTCATTGAAAAAGTTGAATAACAACTTCATAACCATCAAATATAAAGATGGATGATTTCTGTAGCCAGCTCTGTCACCTCACCCAAGTTAGTTCTCTATACTCAAACTCACTGTGGAAACTGAAGCCTAGCTCTGTGTTATAGCAATGCTTTCAATGCAGAAAGTACCCAGGTCAATCCTGAGAAGCCAAAATAAATTCTACAAAAATAGCCAAGAAGCATCAGATGTATTTAATTACTGAAAATTAGAAGTTTCCAAGTAATCTAGAGAAAAATTCGAATTAATGATATCAGTTAGCAGTACAAACATTCGCATCACAAAGAATGTTTAAGAATTCATTGGAAATTGTGTTTTCTCCTAAATAGTTAATATTCCCCGCTTAGTCTGGACTATATTGTTGGCTAACTCAGCATGCTGTCCTTATGAATACCAAGGAAAAACTTCTACTTAATCCACATGCAAATGAGCAAAAATTAATTGGCAGTGCACAATTAAGTTTGTGTTATGTGCTCAATGAAGTAGTTGTGCCCATCCATATAAGAAAAGGCCATTTGCACAAAAGTGAAAGAATGACTTTATCTGCCATGGTGGAAATGGACCCATAAAAACATTCGGGCACAGCAGCAAATTCAAATTCTCTAGATTTTTTTTTGGGGGGGGGCCTGGTTGGGAAGTTCAAGACAGGATTTTTCTAGGTAGCCATAGTTGTTGTCCTTGAAATCACTTCACAGACCAGGTTGACCCTGAACACACAGCTCTACCTGCTGCTGCTTTCTGAGTGCTGCAACTAAAGGTGTACACCACCACGCCTGGCTTCATGTTCTCTAAAGTACCTATAGTTCACTGCCATACCTGTGCATGCTAAGTTAGGCTTTAAATAATTTTCTCTTCACAATTCTTGATTGGTCTTCATTTTGTTTAAACATTCAACAGAACCTAAGAATTATTTCCCTTCCACATTTAGATTTCTACCAGACCAAGCTGCGTGCACACATGCTCACACACACACACATGCATGCACACACACACACACACACACACACACACAATGTGTGACCAGGCATAAACGAGTACAGGTTTCAGCCAGCCTGATCTATGAGGGAAACAATGTCCTCCCAAAATTTGATGTCTTTTCTTTCTAATAATAGTGAAGTACTCTAACATCCTCTTGGTACTTCTACTCTCCGTACTCAAGACCAGTTAGGAGCCTGGCATAGTGTCACAGATCTTTAATCACAGCACTGGGGAGGCAGAGGCAGTTTGATCTCTGAGTCTGAGGATGGCCTGGTCTACATAATGAGTTCCAGAACAGCCAGGACTACATGGAGAGACCCTGTCTCAAAAAAAAAAAAAAAAAAAAGTGTGTTGGTTGGTAGAGTACTTATCAGGAACATTNAAGTTTGACATACATTTCATTCCCAAGTAAAGGAAACTTCTTTAAGCTCACTGAGTGCGATAAGCAAAGACCAAGGACCACCTATGCTGACAGAAAGGTGAGCTGTGGCTGGGTGGTGGTGGCGCACGCCTTTAATCCCAGCACTCGGGAGGCAGAGGCAGGTGGATCTCTGTGAGTTTGAGACCAGCCTGGTCTACAAGAGCTAGTTCCAGGACAGGCTCCAAAGCCACAGAGAAACCCTGTCTCGAAAAACCAAAAGAAAGGAAGAAAAGAAAGAAGGAAGAAAGGAAGGAAGGAAGGAAGGAAGGAAGGAAGGAAGGAAGGAAGGAAGGAAGGAAGGAAGGAAGGAGAGCTGTGTAAAAGCTGCTACTTCTCCAGCACATTCTAAACTTAAAGCTGCTTCTTTATTCCATCTCATTACTCAAAGCTGTTGAAGATTCCTTTGGATGTGTTTAAAAGATCTGAAAGTAAAGAGTATTGATTCTCCAAAAACCACTATGTGAGTATTCCATGCTGCTGAAAGCAAGCTCCGCTACAGTGACATTTCTCTTCCCAGCTATCCTTAAACTAGCATAAAAGCCTACAATGATAACTACATTTCAAAGTTATGAAAATGTATGAGCTTTTATCTCATTTTCCACAAACTCAAATATCTCAGGTTTGATGGATCTGATACTAGCACAATATATTAGGCTTGCTGACACTTTCAAAACATACCAGAAACTCACAAAACTGCACTGCTTCTATCATATTTGGAGGAATGGCCTATGATATCAAGAAGTTGGCCATGGGCTTAAAAAAAAAACTCAAGTAGAGATGTCTGCAGCATGGTTAATTTACTAGTTTAGCACACGTTGGTCTTTCTTCAGGTGTTTATTGAGCTATGCTCCACAATATGATATCCTCAGCAAATATTCATTGTTGGATGCTACAACCAATTCTCTAAGAACACAAAGAATGCAAATATTCAAAGTACATGAACGATTATACACAAGTCAGAACTGAAAATTAGTTTCCTGAGAAAAAAGGATCTAGGGAGAAACTTTTTTGGTGCCATTTATAGGACTTGATACATACCCATGGAGGAAAGTGGGGGGGGGGAGAGAAAGAGAAAGAGAGAGAGACAGAGACAGATAGACAGACAAACTGACAAAGAGAATATCTTCCTGTGTTGAAATTTCTCAGGCTCTACCTCAAGTCCACAATGTGACTGCGTTGGACTCGCCTTTACAGAATGCTTGAGTAAGAAAACTGCCCTCATTGCCTACAAAGCCCAAGAACCCCAAAAGGCCAAGTTATTAATTTTACATTAAGGTAATTGAATAGGATTCGTGCTGCTGTGGCAATATTTATCCACTCTATGCTGCATTTACATTTTCCACCATTCATGTCTTCATTATTTCAAGAGAAAGAAAAACTTGAAAATAAATGACTATATATATTTTAAATACAAACTCCTTATTCCCAAAGAGTTCATTATAATAGAGTAGTAAAAAGAAGGTGAAGAAGATAAGGTTCAGCAGGTAAGGGTGCTTGGTACCAAGATTGATGGCCTAAGCTATAACCCTGGGATCCACATGGTAGGAGAGAAAGAATTTCCCCCAAAAAAGTGTGTGTGTGTGTGTGCGTGTGTGTGTGTGTGTGTGTGTATGTTTGTGTAAAGAGAAAGGAACTGGAAAGAATTATTTTCTTTCAAATGTTCTGGTAAAGTGGTTCTGTTAAGATAACAAACAACTATATCTTGATACCAAGGGATTAGAAGCCAAGTGTAGCGACTTATGCCTCTAACTGTGTAACTGCAGCACTTCAGTGACTGAGGCAGTAGAATGCCACGTGCTCAAGGCCAAGGACATTATGTAGTTGAAAGTACATAGCCAGTTTCAACCATGTCTCAAAAGCTTCACAATTAAAAAGGAGGGAGTCACAAATTCTAGAAGGTCATTTCCACACAGTAACTATGAAAAAGTACTATTTGTTAGCTCTTCTTCATCTGGAGTGTTAGCTCACTAAGTTAAGGTTAATGTGTGGAAGTTGGTGTGGCAGAAATGGTAAGTTAGGTTTTAATCAATTAATTAATTCCAGCCTGATCAGTTTCCCTTCTGCCCTTCTCTCCTCCCAGTCTTTCCCCTCCCTTCTCCCCCATCCACTCTTCTTCCTTTCTCTTCAGAAAGAACAGGCCTCCCGTGTATATCAGCCCAGCCAAGGCATATCAAGTTACAGCAGTTAAGACTAGGTACCTCCTCTCCTGTTAAGGCTGGCAAGACCATCTAGTGTGAGGAGCAGGGTCCCAAAACTGTAACAGAGTGAGAGACAGCCCCTACTCTCACTGTTAGGAGCCCCAGAAGAAGACCAAGCTACACACCTGTAACTTCTATGCAAAGGGCTTAGGTCAGTCCCATGCTGGCTCCCTGGTTGTCGGTTCTGTCTCTGTGAGCTCCTACGAGCCCAGTTTAGTTGTTTCTATGAGTTTCCTTGGAGGGTCCTTGACCCCTCTGGCTCTTACAATCCTTCCTTCCCGTCTTCCACAGGATTCCCTGTGGTCCACGTAATGCTTTGCTGTAGCTCTCTGCATCTGTATCGATTAATAGCTATGTGAAGACTCTCTGATGACAAACAGGAGTGATCAGGTGGAAGGAATACAGAGGGAAAGAGGACTGAGAGAGACAACTGGAATCAGGGAACATCTGTGGGACAGTTAGAGACCTAGTGCAATGCAAACTCCCAGGAATCTATGAGAGTCAACCTAGCTAAGACTCCTAGCAATGGGAGATATGGAGCCTGACCCGGCCATCTCCTGTAACAAGGAAATACTTCCCCTGGAGGGACTGGGACCCTAACCCAGCCACATAACCTTTGACCTACAATTTGCCCTGCCCGCAGGATGTGCTAGAGAAAAGGTGGCACAGAAATTATGGGAGTGGCCAACCAATGACTGGTCTGGCTTGAGACCCATGCCATGACAGGGATCCCAGCTCTGACACTGCCTGGAGGGCCAAGACC